CGCGGACGCTCTCTTGGTCGCACAACTCCAGGCTACCATCCAGAGTGTGAACGCGGCGATGCAGAGGATGAAACCCACGGCCACTGTGCCTACGGCGGTGAAAGCTGAGGCGGGATCCATGGGGACGAAGGTCCCTGCGCCTAAGTCGTCGGACGACGCCAAGGCGAAGGCCAAGAAAGCCACACCCAAGCCGCGTGCATCCGGGAAGGCTCGTCGTGGCGGATACTCATCCGATTCGGACCCAAGCTCAGAAGATAATGACAGTGGTTCCAGCTCCGATGACTCGGACAGTTCTTTCTGTGAGCCACTCAGCGAAATGGCGGCCCCAAGGCCAACCAGGGCGGCACCACCACGATGACTATCCGACCATTCGTGACTGCGAGTTCGCTGGACGACTTCGACGAGAAAGCCTCTCTCTCAGAACGCACTCGTTGGTGGGAGCGTTTTCAAACGTTGGCCTTCCAGGGCGGATGGAGCGACAAGATGAAGGTTTATGAACTCCGCCTGAAGTTATCCCCCTCGGCAATGAATTGGCGTTCACAATTGTCACCGCCTGTGCGGCGCGACTGGACGAGATTCTTCAAGGGGTTCAAGGTGAAGTACTGTAAATCCAAGATGTCCGACTCAGAAAAGTACTACACCATGAAGCCGCGAAAGGTAGAGACCCCCTGGATTTCTTATATCGCCCGAATGCTGCGGTCGACCGTGCGGACATTCGCTACAAGAAGTCAGAACGACGTCGTGAACAACGCGTCAAGAGATTCACGCATCGGTTGGCAGATTCGCAACTAAAGAGCATTCTGAAAAGTCAGCGATTCAAGAGTATGGACGACCTGAAGTATGTGCTGAAGCAGCAGGAAGATGACTGGGGTGATGATCGTCAAAGCGGCTCGTCCACCAAAACGAGAGACTTCAGGGCAGACAACATCCATCAGAGTCTACTCAGGACCAAATATGCAGGACGAGCGTATTTCACCCAGAGCGGCGACGAGTCTGATTCGGACGAACGACATGTGATGTTCGATGATGAAACTCTGGAGATCTCCCTGGCCCAGGAAAGTGTCGAGTCCCGTGAGACACCTCTTGAAATTCAAGGCGCGGGTATGACTATGGAGGAGCTGACCAGCACGTGCTCAAGGTCATGGAGAATTCGGGATGGAATAAGCCTGGGCATATGGCACACCAGGGTAAAGCCCGCCAGAGTAACGGCCACCCAGGATCGCCATCGCTGAGGTATGACAACCCTGACCGGGACGTACGTTGTGAAAACTACAACGGAATCGGACATCGGGCTGAGAATTGCTAGGCAGACCTAGTCTGTGAAAATTGTCATCGCACTGGACATCCTACTCAACTATGCAAGACCTTACAAGAAGTGTGGCAAGTTCCACGATGGTCGATGTGAGGATTGGGAGATGTTAGAGTCTATTGCATGACTAGCCCGCCAGGGCATCGAGAAACGCTTACCTACTCCGATGCCGGACCGACTCCTAGCCGTCAAGGCCGATCCTGGTGATGGGTCGTTAAACCACTAAGCCCGCTGGATGGGGATCCAGAACTCGACGGGCATGGTAAGACCCCCGAATTATGTGCCTTAGTATATATCGGCCCTGAGTTGAGAACCAAGAACCAAGATACATGGCTTCTATGTTTCAGGATCCCATGAGTTCAGGATTAGGCTCCTCTGGATTGTTTCATTCAGGAGGTACTTAGCCAGCGTTTCCTGTGGAATTTCTGCTTCGGGATTGGAGAACGTTATGGGTGGTGGAATACGCACCAGCAAGGGAAGGAAAGCGCAGGATTGCTACGGTTCATGGTGCCGTGAATGATGTAAGAACTCGGATACTCCTGGACACTGGAGCGTTATTGAGCATGATTAGCTTGGATTTAGCGCGTAAACTCAAGCTCAAGCTCAATCCACAAAATCAGGTTAAGCTGTCTGGATTAGGGGGTATCCCTACCCAGATCACGGTAACTGCGGAAGTCAAGATTACCCTGGGATCCAGGGTGGTCTACATCATGGGCCAATATTGGTGAAGGATTGGATGTGCTCCTGGGCATGGATTTTATGGTTCGTGTAGGAGTGAGAGTCCGTGTTCGAGAAGGCTTGGTGCAACTCCCAGATAAAGAGTTTATCCTGATGTACTATGAAAATGTCAGAGTACCCCAGAGCGTGGACTTGCCTGTCACGTCCCCATAAAAAAAATTGTAGGTCTGACCATGACACAAACCAGTGGCGTCAGGGACCTGATCGCTGTGGGTGACTCACGAATCGTCATCCAGCAAGTTCAGCGTCTGATCAACTGTAATCAGCCTAACCTGCAAAGGCGATTAGCCAATTATGAAACACTGAAAGCAAAGTTTGATTCAGTGAGACTGGTACACGTCAAGCGGGACTTCAACCAGGCAGCGGATTACTTGACTTCCAAGACACTGTTGCTTGCAAGATCCTGGAGCGTGCAGGAAGATGGAGAGCGTCAACACCTGGAGCGAGTATCCAAGATTCAAGAGAAGTTGATGAAGTCAGCCGAGGGTCACCTGGTGACCGATCATTCAGGATTCGTTGTCACCCAGGATGAGGAAGGTTGTCCAGACAATCCTGGATGCCCCTCCGGCCTGGATGTCATGGCAGCCCCACTGTCGCGTGCAGCCAAAATCTTGGTTACTGTGACACGGGTTAGTGTCCGGTACCAACAAGCGTCATCAGAACCTTTTGATCCTCTAAATTACCAACGAGAAAGGCGGCGGCGAATTAAGGTACACCAGGAACAAGATGAATATCTGTGCGACTTGAGAGATTTCCAAAATGGAGAAGTCGATCGGTTCACTTTACACCGGTTGCGGAAGATCGTCAAGGTCGCAGCCTTATTCGGCCTGGATGCCCGTGGTGTGCTGTATTGGTTAGCCCAATCCACCTGAGGCAGACCCCGAGATGCCCAGGATGAATTACGACTGGTAGTACCTATCACCCTGAGAGAGAACATTTTACATTATGCCCATGATGATTTCCAGAGGGGACACCAGGGCATCAAACGGACTCACGAAAAATTGCGCTCTGAATTCTACTGGCCTGGGATGTGGTACGACACGTAAATAAGTGTGTGGATTGTGCGAGTGGCAAAGACCATCCATCTAACCCAGGTCCATCTCCTGGGAATACCGAACCAAGACGTCCATTTGAAGTGGTCTCGATGGATTTCGTGACACACATGCCGAAGTCGGACCGGGGAAATACTTCCTTGCTTTTATTTCAAGATATGTTCTTAGGATTCGTGATGTGTAAACCAATGTCCTCCACGACGGCCCAGGATATAGCCGATGCATATGAGGAACAGGTGTTCAGGATGTTTGGCGGTTCAGAAATTATCCGCCATGATCAAGATCCAAGATTCATGAGTGAAGTCTTTACTCGATTCAGGGAACTCCTGGGCAGCCGTCAGAGATCCACCCTGAGTTACCGACCCCAAGCAAATGGATAACAAGAACGATATGTTCAGACTTTTATCTGGAGCGTGTGAGCGTATGTTGCCAAGGTAGATCACTCACATTGGGACGATCACGCTGAGCGGCTGATGTTCGCCCTGAACACATCTTGCGACGTAACCCGCCTGGATACACCATCCTATCTAGTCCATGGTTGGGATGTTCAAGGCACCGTATCTTCCATGCTAGGGTCTAAGCCATCCAGCCTTCCAGAACGGACCGCGTACGAATGGATGAGAAAGTTCCAGTGCGACTATAGTTATGGACGAGCTTGTGCCAAGGCTTTACAGAAGAAGGCGAAGCGCCTGAGATCGGAAGGTCAGACCCAGAAGTGGAGAGAGCTTTCAGAGCGGTTGAAGTCTGGATTCGAAAGGGGCAATGCAGTGTGGTTGTGTATACCCAAAGTGCAACCAGGGCTGAGTCGCAAGTTGGCACACCTGTCGCATGGTCCTTTCAGAATTGACGAAATACACGATGATTTCAGGGTGAAGTTCAGGATCGACGGAACTGGATATCGCGGGAATCTTTGGATGCACATAGGTCGTCTGAAGCCCCGGGCATTTTCCCGAAGAGACCTACCGATGAAAATGATGACCTGGATGCGGAATTGTTGCCTGAAGATAGTTGGAAAGTAAACAACCAGAATGGCGAGTGCGAAGTGGAACAAATCCTGGATCTTCGATGGGCTAAACACACCCGCACATCCAGGAGGACGAGAGAGTATCTTGTCAAGTGGTAGGGGTACGTCGATCCTGAATGGATATCACTATCGCAACTCAACTATGGAGCCCTGTTGCATGAATTCAACCAAGGCGCCAGAGCCAGAGCACGCTTCAGGGCGATGCAGGCTGGTGACGACCATCCCCAAATCTCGCTGTGTTTATCCATCAATCCTGGAAGGCCCACTGATCCTGACTCAGACCGATGAATTTTGTGAACCGTTTCGATTTTGTGGGTATTTTGGACTGTGGAGTGTTTTCCTGAATTTCCGTTCCTGGATGACTTATTGTGACTGAACCCTGGATGACGAATCGATGTGCGCATGATTCTGGGTAAATTCTGGATTAAAAAGTAAGCGAAGTGATCAAGATGAAGTGGAAATGCCATATATTAGAATGTACTGGTTAGACCTACGACAACCCCAGTCACTGTGACGAAATATGCAAAGGAGCGTCTCAATCATATGGGCGCGAAGCTGGGTTATCCCGACGAGTTGTCTCAGGAAGGAGACTCACCGACACCGATTTCGGGACATGCTCCACCAGCTCTTCATCACTTGTCGCAGTACCCCACTGCACTCGCGCTGGCTCACGACGATCCAGGTTGGCGAGTTGCTCCGCCAGTGAATATGGGTTGCCCTGGCTGTTGAGCGATCATGGGTTCATGAGAATCCAATGGCAAGGCTTTGACGGTAACGACCAGTATGCTGCTTCCCAGAAGATAGTAGACGGCACACCTCGGCAACACATTCTCATTGCTTAGTCTCCACAGTCCGAGCCAGGGCATTCCATTGTCGTTTGCGCTTGCGTTGCATGCCAGCACCACCCTGGATAGACGTGTCGATAGCAAACCAGTGATCACCATGCCAGAACCCTGACACGTTCTCCTCCATGAATCGGATGTACTTATCCATAGCCATCGTAGCCAGCAAAGCTTGCACGTCAGCCATGATAAATCGCTGCTCTAGAGGCTGGATGCCACCTTCCTTGTTAGGCGCATAATCTAGGAAACCCGCAGACTGATGCACCGAGTGAGCCGACGACGGGGCGAAAATCATCAAAATCCCGTAGTGACGCCAAGATGAGATTCCCGGACCCGGAACCTCCACAACCTCGGTGTCTGCCACAGTGACCCCCCCTGAGTTGACTTGTGCCAGGGGCGACTGACGACGGAGACTACCAGAACGCATACGCTTAGACGGTGAGTCAGATTTAGTCGTGGATTGGGTCGCGGGTGCATCAGAATGTGATGAAATTGATGTGCGACGGCGCTTTGGGGCTGAGGGACACTGTCGCCACGCTGGACGTCATCAGCATCCTGGTTGTCGACATCGTCATCCGGGTGTAATTGGCGTCGTGCTGCGTATCATCGTGTTCTCTGCTAGCATCGTCCATAACCTCTTGAGCCAAACGCACATCGGCATCCACTAGATCAGGCCAGTATCCAGGGCGAACCCCCTCGGAGTGCAAGAGGTCCAAGCGTAATTCTGCGCGGAACATACTTGGTCCAGAATGACTCGTCCAACCGATTCCAGACCATCATGCTTGCCAGCATGGCAGCGAATGCCGACGGTGGAAACAAATTGTGGGTCATGACGTCTCCACTCAGCATGGCGATGGAGCCCTGATAGCCAATGCCTGTACGCATCGTGAGGACGAAGGGCATCCCACACCACAGGCTCATACTTCATGATCTCCCGAATGGCTGATTCCTGGAACATCAACTGGTTCGAAGGAGAGCGAGCCTGATTAGCCGAAGGAGCCCATCCAGAAGGGCGCAGCTGTGGTTGGTCAGGAACTTTGCGTGAAGAACTGAGAGACCCCTTTTCCTTGGTGGGTGTAGTCTTCCGTGACGAAGGCTCACTGGCACCGGAATCCTGGTGGGTCAGGTGTCCTTGCCGCACTGAGCAGTCTGGCCCTGGGTTCCGTCGCCCTAGGAGCCACTTTGGCCCTTCTCCACTTCATCTGAGTCATCCTCAGCAACCGTGGCGAATGGTGAACCCTAGACAAACGGGTCATCCACAGCGGTGATCGCGAACAACGTGCTCCATGATTTATCAGGGGCGACACAGTCACGAAAACGTTACAAGAGATTCCGGAGCCGTCTCCAGTTGTCATTGATCCGGATATGATCGCGATTGAGAAAGTTCATTAACTTGGGGACGTTGAGACGACGTGAACTAGAACGAGTGCGACCCAGGAGTCGTAGGTTCTCCACTTGGGAGCGCAGCTCACCGACCTCTTCACGAAGGGCCCGTGTTTCCAGCTCGTGCTCGGCTAAGCCCCACGCAGATCAATTTGACCACAATGATGGACTGTGCCCAACTGTTTCTGCAGGCATCGCGCTTCGCCCCAGTAGAACTCATGCAGGGTGGCGGCGTCAGCCCTCACCCTGGTTGTCTCGCCTTGGGTATCCAACGTATTCTGGACGGCAGTGTTGTTGTTCAGGTCCACCTGGGTGCGTAGTTGACGGAACTTGGTCAACAGACATTTCAGGAAGGTCGTCGACGCAAACCCTTTCTGGGCAAGGCCATCCGGACTGTAGTGTGACAAGATCGACACAAACTCACGACGTATCAACGTCGAATGGAGCATGCCCTCCAGCTCTGCTAGTCAAGAGGACGATCTGAGCGAGGACTCAATGTGAGTGCATCGACATCGCCGCCCTGGTCGACGAGTGTTGTCAAGTATTAGAGGTCTACCACCGTGAGGCCGTCAACGCACTGAAAAACTTCCAGGCCACCATATCCATCCCGCGCGTATCTGTCGTCGGCCAGGTGCTGCGACCACGCAGGAATACCCACGAAGAACATGTGATCAGATGGCCGGTAAGCCGCCGACTGCGGGGAACTGGCTGGCACCACCTCTGGAACCATCGTTGTGCGCCATTGTGGAGGAAGTGACAGGGGAAGACGGTCTGTAGCCACACGGAAACGACTCACGATACGGACAGTGATGTCCACGCTCGTGGCTGCATCCACGATGGCTCCGGTTTCCTCCTCCTGTATGAGTTCATCAGCATCATAGTCCACTGGATTGCGGTGTCGTGAACTGCAAGAGCGTGGAATGGACTCAGTCGAGGAACCGAGTCGCTGCCACCCTGGTTATCAGGCATACCCGCGTCAGGATTGCTCGCACCCGAGCCACCGACTCCCGCTCAGTTGGCAACCCCACAGGGAGCCGACAGGAGTTGCGCCGTGCTGGGAAGCGAAGTCGTCGAAGGAGAAGCCATTGCAGTTTGGAGAGATGAACCTGTTGCTGAGCTGATGCGATTTCCAGTTGTGAGGAGTAATCCCTGAGGCGGCCACGCCATGACAGAACTTGATTTGGGTGCCAAGCGATAGGGCGATGAAAAGATGCGAGTTGCGGTAGTGCAACGGGCGGGTCATCCAGAATGTAGGACCGTCCTGGATTGGGTGGATTTGGATGCAGTCTGATCATTATCGTTCACCTCGGTGGCGATTTCCTCTGTGAAACATCCTGATCAGAGGGGCGGTTGTGACGATGTGATTTACAATTTTGAGAATTGGAGAGACGAGGAACTGGAATAATGTGCAGATTGGTTTAGATGAATGAGTCCAGAGCTGACACCTGCGTGAGCCATGGAGAGAGGCAGTGCCGGATTGGGGAAAAGCTGACAGCCGTGTGCTCAAATAAGGGACCATAGGCTCGGAAGTGGCTGTCCAGGATAAATGGTCGTCCAGGATAGATGGCCACCCAGGATAAATATTCATCCTAAGTGAATGGCCATCCAGGATAGAGAACCATCCAGGATGAAATGAACCACTCGGTCCAGGCGCCGATACCCTGACGACAGATACCCCAGAAAAGGATAAGAGCGCCTTGAAGAATGTATCTCGGGTAGCCACCTGTCCTGCCTTGAGCCGCCCTGGTGTTACAGTGACCAACCCGACTACGAATGTGTTATCAAGTACCTCAGAAGCGTCGCCAAGTGATGTGTGATGAATGATCACCAGGATCAACCATGTTGACGAAGGCCATCCAGGATCGACGAGAGTTCGCCCTGGACGACCAAGGGCAGATGTGGCTGAGCGGTAACTGTGGAGTGTTTTACAAGGATCCGGGAGCTGGCCATCCAGGATGAAACCGCCCTGGATGGAAACACCCACAGGTCAGCTCGTCACGACGCATAGACATCGACTGACACGCAAGGTCTGCGGGAATCGTCAACACGTGACGTGTCTACCTCCCCCATACTGAAGTCAACAAGTCAAGATGTGCAAGCACCGTCATCGTTGATGCGTGTATGAAGAGAA